AGTTGGTAGTGTGCTTGCTTGGCATGCATAAAACCCTTGGTTTGATACTTGGCAAAAGAATAAAGCTGGGTGTGTTGGGCTCCTTCCTGTAATCCTAGCATTTGAGAGGCTGAGACAGGAGGATCACCACTAGTTCTCGGCAGTCTGCACTGCAAAGTGAGTGAGTCAGCCTAAACTTCGGTGAGAACTTGTCTTACAAATAGCAAGATAAAAAGACAGGGCTACAGAGGATGTGCTCATTCCCAACATTAACTTTAATACTACTGCAAAGCACAGGCATTCTTTCCCTGCTTCCTGCCTAAAAGGTGTGCACTGCCTTGCCCACATTCTCCACCAAAATGGATTGAAATCCCTCAGAGAGCAAAACAAAAATACCAACACTAGGGGAAAAAAAGTACTACATAACAATTCTATTATTAACACCATAAATGGTGGCTCTAATCCCAGCACTTCGGAGGCTGAAGCAGGAGGGCCCAACTGGGCTAACAGGAGACACCTGACTTAAAAAACGACTGCCTCAAAAAAGTCAGTCGGGCGGTGGTGGTGCACGCCTTTAATCCCAGCACTCGGGAGGCAGAGTCAGGCGGATCTCTGTGAGTTCGAGGCCAGCCTGGGCTACAGCATGAGTTCCAGGACAGGCTCCAAAGCTACACAGAGAAACCCTGTCTCAGGAAAAAAAAAAAAAAAAAAAATCAAGCAAACAAAACAATAACAAACGACTGCCTTGCTTCTACTTTATAATTTGCCAACTGCTTTCTTAAAATTCTTTAATCGTCGTGAAAACTTGTAATATTAACTCCCTCCTTTCACAGATGTGGGAACTGGTGTCTTCAAAGATTTCAATAGCCGTCAGGCTAATTGCCTTGCAAGAATTCAATATGAGGGCCTCTGACGCCAAATGGCTCGCTTTTATTAAGTCTATCCGTTCCTTTATTCACTGAATATATGCTAAACTTCCACCGTGTACTAGACGCTGGCGGTGCCACTGTAAATAAGGCTCAGACCCAGGTCACTCCTGTCCTACCTGACACCAAGATGTTTCCTGCTATTAAGTCGCACAAGCAAGTACGTATGCACCCTCTTAAGGTTCGTCATGTTAAATATGGGGGTCACATAACGCATTCGTGTCATGATGAACAGTGCTGATCACTGGTAAACCGCAAAAACTGCCACTCACACATTCACGGCAGAGGACTGAGAAAGGCCTCCCTCCTGTTTACAAATAAAAGTAGGTGCGCTGCAGCTCAGTCTCCGCCGGGAAAGGTCCCGGCCTCGGTCAGTCGTAGACTCCACGGCCTGCCTGCTGCAGCACTACAAGCAGCTCGCCGGCCCCTCTCCGGGTCCGGGTCCACAGGCCCGGCCACCCGGCCGCGCTCCGGGAATCCCAGGAGTCACAGTGGCGGCCGCGCATGCACCCCACCGCCGGTCCGCAGTCCCCAGGCCGGACGGCACGGGCCAACGGTCCCGGGAGGCGTCCCGCTGCACCAGGCCGCTGCGGACGGAGCCGGAGCGCGGTCTCCCTGAGGCCACCATCCTTACTCCGGGCTCACCTCACTGTAGAAGGTCATAAATGCCTCCTCTGTGCTGCCTCCGCCGCCCGAAGCCCCGCTCTCTCCCGAAGCCGCCATTTTCCCGGCCAGCCGGCACGTGACCGTTCTGCGCAGGCGCAGCCTCACGTGACACTTCCAAGACCGCCTTCCCGGACCGCCTCCGCCGGCAAGCCGCATTTAAAGGGCCCGAGCCCCTGCCTGGCCTTTCTTTTTTCTTTTCTTTTTTTTTTTTTAAAGACAGGGTTTCTCGGGCTGGGCAGTGGTGGCGCACGCCTTTAATCCCAGCACTCCGGAGGCAGAGCCAGACGGATCTCTGTGAGTTCGAGGCCAGCCTGGGCTACCAAGTGAGTTCCAGGAAAGGCGCAAAGCTACACAAGAGAAACCCTGTCTTGAAAAACAAAACAAAAAAACAAACAAACAAAAAAAAAAGACAGGGTTTCTCTCTGTATCCCTGGCTGCCCTGGAACTATCTCTGTAAACCAGACTAGCCTCGAACTCTTATATATATATAAGAGTTGTTGTTGTTGTTGTTTTGTTTTGTTTTTCGAGACAGGGTTTCTCTGTGTAGCTTTGCGCCTTTCCTGGAACTCGCTTTGGAACCAGGCTGGCCTTGAACTCACAGAGATCCGCCTGCCTCTGCCTCCTAAGTGCTGGGATTAAAGGCGTGCGCCACCACTGCCCAGCTATATATATATATATATATATGTTTTTTGAGACAGAGTTTCTCTGTGGCTTTGGAGCCTGTCCTGGAGCTCACTCTGTAGACCAGGCTGGCCTCAGACTCACGGAGTTCCGCCTGCCTCTGCCTCCCGAAGCGTGTACCACCACCGCCCGGCATATATTATTTTTTAATATTAAAATTTAAAAAATTATTATTGCCAGACATTGGTGGCATACGCCTTTAATCCCAGCAGTGGGGAGGCAAAGGCAGATGAATCTGAGTTTGAGGCCAGCCTGGTCTGCAGAGTGAGTTCCAGGACAGACAAGGCTACACAAAGAAACTGTCTATAGATAGATAGATAGATACATACATACATACATACATACATAGAAAAAAAGAATTATTTTAAAAAGCACACTTGGTACTCACTAAGCAGTTTCCTCCTCCCCCAGTCTCTGTCAAAAAGTAATCTATGGTCTCTGGATATACATATTCTGGACATTTCCCATGGATGGAATCTACTTATACAATACCTTTTGTATTTAGTTCTTTTTTGTTTGTTTGTTTGTTTGTTTGTTTTTCGAGACAGGGTTTCTCTGCATAGCTTTGCGCCTTTCCTGGAGCTCACTTGGTAGACCAGGCTGGCCTCAAACTCACAGAGATCCGCCTGGCTCTGCCTCCCGAGTGCTGGGATTAAAGGTGTGTGCCATCACCGCCCGGCTGTATTTAGTTCTTTCAGGTAGCATATTTTTAAAGCTCATCCAAGAGGAGCCTATAAGAATATACGGGTTGGGAATTTAGCTCAGTGGCAGAGCGTTTGCCTAGCAAGTGCAAGGCCCTGGGTTCAGTCCTTAGCTCCGGGAAAAAAAAAAAAAAAAGAATATACTCCCTTTTATGACTGCATCAAATTCCACAGAAGTATGTTCATGCTACAATTTGTTTATCCATTCAGAGTTTAACATTTGGAGTAGTATCACCTTTGGACTTTTGGGAAATAGTGTTACGAAGCTGGGAACTTCCTGGAGCCCCAGCACTTGGGAAGTAGAGGTAAGAAGATCGGGGATTCCAGCTCCCTTCATAGGGAGTTTTAGGCCATTCTAAGCTACAATAGATCTCATCCAGGGAGGTAGGAAAAAGGGAAGGAAGATATTATAAACATGCATGTACAAGTATTAGTGTTTAGAGTTTCTTATTTAATTTTTAAAATTACACTGATTTATTTATGGGGCACAGCGCCACAGTGTACATGTGGAGGTCAGAGGACAACTTTCGGGAGTCAGTTACCTCCTTCCAACCCTGGGGCCCAGGAAGAGAACTCGGGTGACAATGCTAAGTAGCAAGCACTAGCCGTGTGCGTGTGTGTGCGTGTGTGTGTGTGTGCGTGTGTGCGTGTGTGTGTGTGTGTGTGTGTG